TTCTCCTCGACCGGTGCGAAACGAAGGTGGCGTCGATGACGAGGTCGACGGCGGTGCACGAGTGAGCGGCAACAATGGCACGAAGCAGAGAGGGGTGATCAAGGTTGATGGTGGCGTCGACAGGAGTCAGGCGCGAGTGCAGCAGTCGACGACAGTTGCAGGCAGCTCACGTGCCGAGGTTGATGGTCGACGTCGCTCTCCTCTACAAAGCGGTGGAGGTCTCTCGGCGACGACGCATGTGACGGCGGGCGGGATCGCACCGACGTATGGCTACTTCAAGTTTTCTCCGGACCGGATTACCGTCGCACCTCTGCAAGGTCGACGAGATCTCATCACCTAGAGGGAGTCGATAGAACCTCAACTGGAGGTCACCGGGCTAAAAGGCTTCGCCGACGGCACAGTGCCAATTCCGCCCGTGGACGATGTCGGGCTACGCGGGGAGTTTCGTGCGGCTCACTTGCTCACCTTCATGGTGATCTCGAGGTGCTGCTCGCCGGTGGTGCAGCTGGCGCTCAGGAGCTGTCGAGAGCGACTGGATGCCGGTCACCAGGCATGGCACTTCAGGTCAGGGACGACCTGTACATCGCACAGCTGGAGAAGAAAATGAACCACATTCGAATGGGCGAGCAGGAGTCGGCAACGGACTACTGCAACCGTGCTCGACGGATCCTGGCTGAGATGCGGATGGCGGGCGCCGAATACTTGACGGCGTCCTACATCTCCCACATCGTCAAGGGCCTGCCGCGCGGCTACAACCTCATGAAGAGGATGATGATGGTACCCGGGACGCGTGAGTCCCTCGACGAGGACTCCATCACCAGCTACATCCTTCAAGACAAGGCGATGCAGGACGCCGAACAGCCCACAGAGCTCTTTCCTCAGGTAAACTACGCTGCACCGACGAAGCTGAATCAGCAGCAAGGGCAGCGCAGGAAGCTGAGCGGAGGTGGGCGGTCGACGGAGGACGTCGTTGACAATAAATTATTCTTCGCGGGATCTCGAACTTCAATGCAATGCTGGCGCTAGTGGAGAAAATCGACATTTTGCGCCGTCCGAGATCAGGGTCCTAATGCGGACACCGCCCTCGGGGGCTGACCGAGCACGCCACTGTACATGCCGTTGCGACGAATGCAGCTGCCGCGCCGTTTAAAGGGCACTGCTTCGCGTGCAACAGGCCGGGCCATCGCAAGAGCGAATGCCTAGAGGAGCTAAGACATTGTGGAGTAGAGTAGGGAAGGGAGTCTGGGAGGCAGGGAAACACCAACCGTCAGTAGAGTACATGGCCTGAGTCTTCAACGGTCCACGTCAACGCCCTCACGATGAAACGGGCAGTCGCCGCTGGAGCTGACGTATACGCTGTGGACATTACGGTAGTAGGAGAAGCAGAGGAGCCGAGTGATTTTCAAAACTGCTGGGAGCCGCACCGCCCGAACTACTGGAACTACTGAAACGGTACCCGAGGATTTTTCCATACGGTTTACCGGAGGGACTGCCACCTCAGCGAGCACACGACCATCGCATAGAGTTAGAGCCGGGGCACAGCCAACCGTAGAACGGCGGCAGCGAGGTGTCGGTGCGTAGAAACAGCGACGGGTCCGCAGTAGAAGGAGCAAACCCAAGAGCCGCAAGTGTAGTCCTCACTGTGTCGTGCCACTCGCGAGGCGCCTGGCGGAGACCGTAGACTGGCCGGCGGAGGCTCTACTGGGTACCTGCAGGAAACGTCCCAGTGAAACCAGGTGGTCGGCGCAGCCAGATCTCCTCGTGCAGGCTGCCCTGCAGGAAAGCTGTGCTGAAGTCCAGAGAGTGCAACTTGTAGTCACGCTGAGCAGCGACGTGCAGCAACACCCGAAGAGTAGTCATCTTCGGGGTTGGGGAGAAGGTCTGGAAGTAGTCAACTCCCTGTCGCTGACTGAAGCCTCGAGCAACGTAACGCGCCTTGAAGGCAGGCGGAGAACCCGGCGGCCGCTTCACCCTGAAAATCCACATGCCATCGACTATGTTCACCCGAGACGGGGGAACTTCATCGACGTAGGTGCCTGCGGACTTCCAGGATGCCATCTCGGCATCCATAGCTGCCTGCCACTGAGAGGAGTAAGGACACGTAATCGCCTCTGCGTAAGAGCGCGGGGTCGGGATGTCTAGAGCATCCGGGTCTCCCTCAGGGGCAAGCAGCATGGAAGCGAAACGAGGTACAGCAGCTGCAAGACACTCAAAGTCCTCCTGCGTGTCCTCAAGGACGTCCGTGCCAAGAGCACACTCACCCCTGACGGACGGAGGACTGGCAGACACTGACTTAGCAACTAGAGCAGTGGCGTAGTCGAGACGGCAGGCAGCAGCAAAGTCAAGCAGCTCAGCAACGAGAGCAGACGCAGCAGCAGACTCAAAGGAAGGGTCAGTGACAGCAATGGCGAGGAGACGAGAGACAGTGGGACTGGTAGCACGAGCTCGGTCAGACGCAGGGTCAGGGACGGCTGGAAGAGAGGACTCAAGAGGAGGCAGCAGAGGAACACGCAGTGGAACAGAGGAAGGACGGAGTGCCATAGCGTGCGTGCCGAAGACAGGAGGAGGACGCGAACAAGGAGCGCGACGAGCAGTGCGAACAGGCGAGACAGGACGAGACGCAGGCTCACGACGCTCTGTAAGACCGCCAGACTGCTCAGTGTAAGGAGAGGGAGCAGGCAGTGGGGAGGCTGGTTGTAACGGCGGCAACAACTGGTCAGGCGGTGGACACAGGAAGGGAGGAGGAAGACCAGTAGAAGACGGGACACCAAGAACCTGCTGAAGCAGGGGAACGAAGTACGGTCGCGGCCGCAAAGCGCCCTCCAGCGCCAGGGTCAACAGATCCAGCTCATGCAGCTCCAGCGCCTCCAGTGCCAATGCCTCCAACTCCAGCTCCTGCAGCTCCAGCGCCTCCTGCGCCAGGGCCTCCAACTCCAGCTCCTCCAGCTCCAGTGCCTCCAGCGCCAGCTGCTCCAGGCTCCGTAGGGTCTCCATCTCCAGCGCACCCAACACCACCAGTCCCGGCAGCTCCATCACCACTGGTACGAGCACCTCCAGGACCAGTAGTCGCAATACCTCCAGTACCGCCAGCTCCAGTAGTAACAGCAGCACCTCTAGCTCCAGTGTCTCCAGCGCCTCCAGCTCCGGGAGCTCCACTCCAACGGTGTGCGCGCCGAACAAGCCACTCACGCAGCTACTGCAAGGACAGTCGCGGCGAAGCACCAGCAGGACCTCCAGACGAAGCAACACCCCGAGGCGCAGCACCCCCAGACTCCGCACCCTCCGACTCAGCACCCCCAGGCTCAACACCCGCAGACTCAGCACCCCCAGGCTCAGCACCCCCAGACCCAGCACCCACAGACCCCGCACCCCCCGGCTCCGCACCCCCAGACGCAACACCCCCAGATGCAGCACCTGGAGCAGCACCTGAGCCGACAGCTACCTGAACAGGCGCAGTACCAGGGAGAGGGTCTACCTGAGACACACCCGAGGGAGCAGGACCCTGGGGCGGGAGGGGGTCTACCGGAGGTGGACCGGGAGCAAGGAAGAGCGGCGGGGGCGGGGGAGGGGCAGAGCGGTAGGGGAAGAGTCGGTAAAAGGGAACTGACTCGTCGAACGTGACGTCCTGAGACGGGAGGACATGGCGCGAGGTGGGGTGGTAAATCTGCCAGCCAGGCGCGTCAGGGCAAAGCCAAGGAAGACGCAAGGAATGGCATGGGCGGACAGCTTGTCCGCGGACATATCGCGAACAAAGGCACGAGAACCCCAGACCCGGAACACCGACGCATCGCCAACCTTCCCCGTCCAACGCAGTGTGGGCGAAGTCTCTGGCAAGGAGATACGGGGCCAGAGGTTGAGCTGATGTGCAGTGTACCGGACCGCAAACGGCCACAGAAAATGGGGAGCGGCCGCATGGATCATGGAGGTACGAGCGACCTCCATGACTAAGCCAATGCGGCGCTCAGCAATCCCATTTTGCTGAGGGGAGTCCGGAAGCGCGAACGACTGGAGAATGCCCTCCCCACGACAAAAGTCCCGCAAGAGGTCAGAGGAGAACTCACCACCTCTGTCAGAGTGCAGACGTAGGACAGGATGGTTCGTACCGAAGCGCTCGCGGAGTCGGAGACGGACTGTGCGGATCCAAGGGATCAAGACATCAGGGACCTCACCCTTGCTGCGCAAGGGGAGGACCGTGATGTACCGCGTGTAGTCGTCAACGACCAGCAGAAAGTAGCGCTCGCGGCCCTGTCCACTGACGCGGGCTGGGCCCCACACGTCCATGTGGAGAGTCTGCAGGGGAGCAGTCGTCAGGGGAAACGAGGAGGAGTGAGGAGCGGCGCGCTGCCGCCCCTCGACGCAAGGGAGGCAGGGCGGGGCAGGCGAGGGCGGGAGGGGAGGCAGAGACCTGGGTGGACCAGAGACGAGAAACCGAGAGTGCATGCCACGAAGGCGTGGCAGGGAGGGGTGACCCAGGCGGTGGTGCCACAGAAGAGTCTAGTGCGACAGGAGGCGACACGAGCAAGAGGCGGCTACCTGACCTGACGCGGACACCTGAGCAGACGCAGCAACCTGAGGAGGCTCGGTAGCCAGCGTGTACAGACTTGACCCTGGCCGACGAGTGAACGTAGCCAGGTGACGCCCCGTCCGTGTGCACGTGCAGATCAACACACGCTGACCCCCAGGGGTGGTGGTAGTGACCATCGCATCCTGAAGGGCAGCGGTACTCACCAAGTTCGTAGAGAATGAGTGGAGGTGAAGGCCTGACAGTGAGCTGGACGGAACCGCCAGACACGGGAGGACAGTGGAGGAACGGGCAACGACCGGGCCCCCAGAGGGGTCAGCCAGTCAGACCGGGACAGGTGCAGGGAGAGGAGTGAGAGTGATGCTGTCACGAAAGAAACAGCGCGAGGCGCCGGAGTCCAACGTGAAGGTGTGCAAGGCCTGAGTAGGCGCAGTACTAGGGAGAGTACCAGACTCACTAGCACCTAGAGCAGCAGCAGCTATACCTGGGTCAGGCGGCACACACTGGTAACAGTCACCCTCAGCACTAACAGACAAAGCATACATAGCAGAGATAATAACATCATAGTCTAGGTCAAAGATAGCAACTCCCGACCTAAGCAAATCCGTTCAGCGAGGGCGCTCGACGTCGTCACCAAACTCAGCACGCCAGGCATCGTCAAGGCGGGAGCAACGGACACCCGTGCGAATGACATACGGGCAGGTCTCACTACCCCTACCCGTCCCACGCTGAACCAACCACTCACGGAGCTGCTGGAGCGACTGGGTCTCGCTCCGACGCTGCTGCTGCTGTCGCTGACCACCACCAGGGCCTCCACACCGAGGTCCAGACCTGCCACCACCAGACCCACCGCCTCCACTGCCGCCACTCCCTCCGCTGCCCCCACCACCGCTCCCACTGCCACCTCCACCACCACCGCTGCCACCTCCACCACCCCGGCCCCCCTTGCCCTTGCTGCTGCGGCGCTTCGCACTAGTCGAAGCAGCATCGACGTCCTCAGTAACAGAGACGTCTGCAGCAGCAGCAGAGGCGAAGGAGGGGGAAAGGGGGGAGGGGGAGCACCCCTCAAAGAAGGGCAGGCGCGGAGTGCCACGAGCAGCACCTACGCTATGGACATTACGGTAGTAGGAGAAGCAGAGGAGCCGAGTGATTTTCAGAAACTGTTGGCAGCCGCACCGCCCGAACTACTGGAACTACTGAAACGGTACCCGAGGATTTTTCCATACGATTTACCGGAGGGACTGCCACCTCAGCGAGCACACGACCATCACATAGAGTTAGAACCAGGGCACAGCCAACCGTATAGCGACAGTTTCGATTGACATGGCCCGAACTCGACGAACTGAGGAAGGAGTTAGATTATCGACTGGAGAAAAAGTTCATTCGACTGAGCTCATCACTATTCGCCGTATCGATACTATTCATACCGAAAAAAGACAGAGGGTTTCGCATGTCTATTGATTACTGCGCACTGAATAGGGCAACAATCAAATTGCGATATCCCATCCCCCGGGCCGACGAACTCATCGACCAACTGTGAACAGCGAGGGTATTTTCGAAAATCGACTTACGAGACCGTTACCACCAGATTCGAGTCGAACCGATAGACTGCTCCAAGACAAAATTTAGAACTAGATACGGGTCCTTTGAGTACACAGTGGTGCCTTTCGTGTTGAGAAATCAAAGGAAGTTAGAAAGGAGAAAGAGAAGAGGGTTTGCACTAGCAGCAGTTGGCATACATATAGGAAACCCTAATTGGGTTGTACTCGCTATAGAGTACCCCACTGCAGGCTAGACAATTACAACATTCTCACACACCCCCATAGCCAAAGTGGGGTGTAATCAGCACAAGAGGCAAAGCAAAACAAGCTCAGGGTGGATCACAATGTCACCACACATTCTGAGCACAAGTACAGTTTAAAGTTAACAAATGTAAGCAAAGCTAGAGGCTATAGCAGAGGGCAAGTGTGGAGGAGGAGGGACTATGAGAGGAGAGGAGGTAGTGGGCGGCAGCTGAAGCTGCTGGCACACGGCGCAACTGGAGCAACTGGCACACGGGCAACTGGAGCAACTGGCACACTGGCAACTGGAGCAACTGGCCCACGGGCTACTGGAGTAACTGGCTCCGCGGCTAACTCTGAGCGGCAGGAGCAACAGACTCACGGGCGACTGGAGCAACGGGCTCACGGGCGACTGGCGCAACGGGCTCACGGGCGACAGGCGCAACGGTCTCACGGGCGACTGGAGCTGCGGGCTTCACGGCGGCCACCCCCCTTCAACCTCCCCAAGCTATCCCACCCCCCTGTCCCACACCCCTTGCTGCACCTCTAGATCCACTCACACTCCACCCCCTAGCACCACTCCGTCCACTCCCACACACCCACCCCCCTCAGCGACAGCTGCAGCAGTGGGAGACGAAGCAGGAGGAGGAGCAGGTGACGCCACACACCCGCCACCCCCTACTCGCCACCCCCAAACCCTAAGACAGGGCAGGGCAGGGTGGCGGGTGGGGAGGGGGGGGGGGGGGGGGGGGGGCAGGTCCGGGACGGGGCTGCAACAGGGCCGGGGCAGGGCCGGGACAGGGCCGGGGCCGAGGCAGGTCCGGGACGGGGCTGCGACGGGGCCGGGGCAGGGCCGGGACAGGGTCGGGGCCGGGGCAGGTTCGGGACGGGGCTGCGACGGGGCCGGGGCAGGGCCGGGACAGGGTCGGGGCCGGGGCAGGTCCGGAACAGGGCGGGGCCGTGGCAGGTCCGGGACAGGGTCCGGGCCGGGGCAGGTCCGGGACAGGGCGGGGCCGGGGCAGGTCCGGGACGGGGCAGGGGCCGGGGCAGGGCCGGGACAGGGTCGGGGCCGGGGCAGGTCCGGGACGGGGCAGGGCAGGGACGACGACGGGAGGGACCGACGCGCGGCCCCCCCCAGGGTCGCCTCGACAGGCGACGGGAATTGGGGCCGCGCGGGCCCCCGTAGGCGCCGCGACGGGCGACGAGGGGGGGCCGCGCACGAGCCCCCCGGGCGACGAAACCGCCGTGCGCCCCGGGGCGCGCGACGGGCAGGGCGCCGCCGCGCGCCACGGGGCGCACGGCGGGTAGATAAGGGCGTCGCGCGGCCCCCAGGGCGGCGCGACGGTCAGAAAACCACCGCGCCGCGCGCCATGGGCGCGCGGCAGGCAAGGCAGCGCGCGCTCGAGGCGCGCGATAGACAGAGAAGCAGCAGCGGAAGTGTAGGGTGGGCCCATACACAGGATCGACCCGAGGGGGTCGACCTGCTCTGATTCCATGTTGAGAAATCAAAGGAAGTTAGAAAAGAGAAAGAGAAGAGGGTTTGCACTAGCAGCAGTTGGCATACATATAGGAAACCCTAATTGGGTTGTACTCGCTATAGAGTACCCCACTGCAGGCTAGACAATTACAACATTCTGACATTTCGGGCTGACCAACGCACCCGCGGCTTTTCAGATGACCATGAACGAGGCGTTTAGGCCGCTCTTAGATAAATGCGTCATATACCTCGACGACATACCCGTTTACAGCTGGGAACAGCAGCAGCACTTAACAGATCTGGAAGTAGTGTTCAATATTTTAGAGGAAAACAGGTTACTGACCAAGGGTTCGAAGTGCGAGTTTCTTAAGGAGCGTCTAGAATTTATGGGGCACGTTATTTCAGAGGCTGGAGTTGAGATCGACCCAAAAAAGCTAGACAAGGTGAAAGCGTGGCACCCCCCGACAAATATCACGGAGCTGCAGAGATTTTTAGGGTTCGTTAATTATGTACGTCGGTTCGTCCCCGACATGGCACGGTTAGCTGCCCCACTGACGGATCTGCTACGGAAGGGGATCAGTTTTACGTGGGGGGAGAAAGAGCATGCTGCCTTCTCTGCCCTGAAAACTGTTCTCTGTTCACCACCCGTATTGTGCATTGCCGACCCACACCACCCATTCAAAGTGGTTGCCGACGCCAGCGACATCGCCATTGGAGCCGTACTGCCACAGGGCTTCGGCAACGGTTTACAGCCCATCGCATACAAGTCACGCAAATTGCATCCGCCCGAGAAAAATTACCCGATACACGACCGCGAAATGCTCGCGATCGTGCACGCCTTCAAAGTGTGGCGCTGTTTCTTGACCGGTGCAGACGTGACAGTACAGACAGACCACAGATCACTACAGTACCTTCGCACACAGCCCCACCTCAACCCATGACAGGTCCGTTGGCTCGACTTCCTCGAGTCCAATTTTCACTACACAATCACCTACAAAAAAGGAGCCTCAAACATCACCGACACACTGACCCGCCCCACTGCCCAGATACACGCCATACTACTCGCCCAAACTAGCCCATTCTTACAAGACTATTTACCCATGGTTACCAAGCGGACCCATTCTTTACCGGAGGAAACTCGCAGTAGTTCGCAGCAGAAAGGGGGTTTATTATGTAAAAGCCGGCACCGATTGCGTCTGGGTACCGGGCTACACTTTACTGCGGAAGTTACTACTACAGGAGGCACATGGTGGAGTTACCTCAGGACATTTCAGAGTAGAGAAAACACGACAGCAGCTGCAGCGGTACGATTACTGGCCCGAGATGCTGACCGACGTGCAGCGACACGTGACATCGTGTCCCACCTACCAGCTCATGAAGTCGTCACGTCAGCGACCGGCAGGACAGTTTCACCCGATACCACCCCCAGAGCGTGCTTGGCAGCAGGTGACGATGGTCTTCGTCACGGAGTTACCGCCTGGAGCACGTGGGAACGATGCGATCCTGGTGGTCGTCGATCGGCTGACAAAGATGGCACATTTTGCAGCCTGCAAGAAATCAATCACAGCCGAAGAAATAGCCCGACTCTTCATCTCCACCGTCGTTTGACTGCACGGGACACCAACAGCGATTATCAGCGACCGCGACACAAAATTTGAGGAGAGTCACTCTACAATAGTTGTGAGCTAGACTACGGGGTGTTGACACGAACTCTAGGAGTGATCGTAGCTTTGCATAGTTCCTTAGCACTTGCACAATCATGGGAGAATTTTGCAAGAGTTCCACTAGCAAAGATTGCATTACAAAATGATGGCAATCACAATGACAAGAATAACTACATCAGACACCTAGAAAATCTGCAGCTAGCATGGTCGACCGCCAGCACAGCATGGTCGACCGCTTGCCAGTGTTGCGTAGAGGAGTCGCGCCAGCACTGCAGAAACGCGGCCTGCCAACACAGCAAGTCAACGGCGTGCCAACGCTGCAGCAGAGCGGCTGTCTAGCGTTGCATCTGTAAAAGACAGCAGTGCGCACGTATGCAGGTGCGCACAGACGATTGGCCCGACTTGCACCGTTGTGCATCTATCGGCTGTGGTCTGCGCCTGATGAGCCACATCAAATTCGGGATACTAGCCCGAAGACGCCTTCGTCACCGCGACCTCGACGACGTTTGCGTGCCTCCACAGAATTCGCCGAGCAGGTTACCTGGTCGACCTGGTCGAACACCCGGTGCTCTGGTCGACGCCTCCCTCGTCGACCACAGCTCCCATCGAGGAACGCCCTGGTCAACGGACCCCTCCGTCGACCAGCACTGTAAGCTGCTCCTCCTGGTTGGCGAGCCCTCCGTCGACCTGCTCGGCCAGCTGCAGCCATCTCGGCATCCATAGCTGCCTGCCACTGAGAGGAGTAAGGACCCGTAATCGCCTCTGCGTAAGAGCGCGGGGTCGGGATGTCTGGAGCATCCGGGTCTCCCTCAGGGGCAAGCAGCATGGAAGCGAAACGAGGTACAGCAGCTGCAAGACACTCAAAGTCCTCCTGCCTGTCCTCAAGGACGTCCGTGCCAAGAGCACACTCACCCCCGACGGACGGAGGACTGGCAGACACTGACTCAGCAACAAGAGCAGTGGCGTAGTCGAGACGGCAGGCAGCAGCAAAGTCAAGCGGCTCAGCAACGAGAGCAAACGCAGCAACAGACTCAAAGGAAGGGTCAGTGACAGCAGTGGCGAGGAG